GATCCGTAGAGATCATGCGTTTCTTTTCCGCAGTGTTACCGAGAGGCGCGCTAAACACAGTAAAAAATCAACAAAAATAATATTGGATGTACCGTTTTTTCCCGGGTCTGTTGACCAAGTTATTGTACCAAAGGTGCAGTAAAACTGTAAAAACTGAAATGTGTGTGTGTTTACCGTTTTTGCGGGTCTGTTGGCCACATTACTTCACCAAAGGCACAGTAAAACGGTAAAATCAAAAATGTGTTTTACCATGTTCTTTCAGGGCGAGCGGGCACCCCTTAACCAAACAAGAAGCGCGAACCGGCTTTGTGTTCACCAGAACAAGGTGTTCCCACATGCGTGAGAGCTAGCATCGCTCATAGTCATAGAGTTCAAGTTTCAAAGTATCTGCATTCATCACTTGAGGCCAGGGGGAGGAGGTCGAAAGCTAGCCGAATCGCACCGGATGTACTAGTTACATAGTCGGCAAAGCATGTAGTGATTACATGTTTTGGGAGAAAGGTTGCTACGCACACACTTTGCGCTAAAGAATGTAAATGTGACATCGCCGACTGGGAAGGGTACATTGGAACAACACGGGTGCACTCGTTGGCAGGCACGAAGATGCGTGATCGGCAAATCTGGGGGGTAAATTTACCCCCCGCTTTGGTATGCCTTGAGTCGGAAAGAGGGGTAAGCATTTCTGACATCACACGGACTGTACATACACTAGGGCGTCCGTAGTGTAGGAGAAGCACGGGTAAAAGGTATATGGAATAGAGCGTCTTGAGGAAATAGCCGGCTTGTGGTTATTGCAATTCTGGGGGGTAAATTTACCCCCCGCTTATGTATGCCTTGTGCCGGAAAGAGGGGTAAGCATTTTTTGGCATCACAAGGACTGTGCATACACTAGGGCGTCCGTAGTGTAGGATAAGCACTGGTAAAAGGTATAAGGAGTAGAGCGTCTTGAGGAAATAGCCGGGGGTAAATTTACCCCCGCTTATGCACGCATTAGGCTAGAAATAGGGTAAAGAACTTGTAGCAGTGAAGTACAAGGCCTATGCAGCAAGCAGCAGCCAGCAGCAGCAGCAGCAGCCGCCGCAGCCAGCAGGCAGCAGCCAGCAGCCAGCAGCAACCACCAACCAGCAGCCAGCCAGCAGCACCACGCAGCAGCAGCGCAGCACCAAGCAGCACCACCACCAGCAGCAAGCAGCAAGCAGCAAGCAGCAGCAGCAGCGGCGTCGTCAGCAACAGCAGCAGCGGCGCCAAGCCACAACAAGTAGCAAAGCAGCAGCTACAAAAGCGCAGCAAACAGCAGCAGCAAGCAGCAGCAGCAGCAGCAAGCTGCAGAGCGGCAGCAGCAGCACCGTGTACACCAAGCCACCGTTTACACCCAACCAACCACGTTCACACGTTCAACCAACCCCCGCTACACGGCGCAGCTGGGAGTCGAACCGTGGGGGGGGGGAGGGGGGGGTTAGCGTGATATATCAAGCTTTAAGGCACACAGCTCATCCCAGTACCAATTGCTAAAGCAAAGAAGAACTCAGCTAGCACGCTAGCTTTCGTGATCAAGCTTTAAGGCACGCAGCTCATTCCACTTCCAATTGCTAAAGCAAAGAACAACTCAGCCAGCATGCTAGCTTTCGTGATTACCTACCGCTTTTGTATGCCTTGGGTAGGAAAGAGGGGTGAGCATTTCTGACATCACACGGACTGTACATACACTAGGGCGTCCGTAGTGTAGGATAAACACTGGTAAAAGGTATAAGGAATAGAGTGTCTTGGGGCAATAGCCGGCTTATGGTTATGGCAAATTTGGGGGGTAAATTTACCCCCCGCTTTCGTATGCCTTGGGTCGGAGAGAGGGGTCAGCATTTCTTGCACCACAAGGACTGTACATACATTAGAGCGTCCATAGTGTAGGATAAGCACTGGTAAAAGGTATAAGGAATAGAGTGTCTTCAAGGAATAGCCGGTAGCAAATTTGGTGGGTATGGATACAATCAACAGTTTTGCCAAACCACACATGTCCAAGACAGTAAATTCAAACACTTTACTCTCAGGTATTGAAGATTCATCAACTGACGACGCGCAGCCAAAATGTTATGTGATGCGTCCACAAGAAGAAGACGAGCAAATGACCATGCTTCCGACGAAGCTGGCCATGCTTCCGACAAAGCTCGTCAATGAATCCTAAATACAAACACTAAGAGTGTCTAGATGAAATAGCTGGTTTACTGTTATGGTAAATCTGGAGGGTGCATTTACCCACCGCTTTTGTATGCCTTGGGTCGGAAAGAGGGGTGAGCATTTCTGACTTCAGACGGACTGTACATACACTAGGGCGTCCGTAGTGTAGGATAAACACTTGTAAAAGGTATAAGGAATAGAGTGTCTTGGGGCAATAGCCGGTAGCAAATCTGGCGGGTATGGATACAATCAACAGTTTTGCCAAACCACACACGTCGAAGACAGTAAATTCAAACACTTTGCTCTCAGGTAATGAAGATTCATCAACTGACGAGGCGCAGCCGAAATGTTATGTGATGCATCCACAAGAAAAAACGAGCAAATGATCATGCTTCCGACGAAGCTGACCATGCTTCCGACAAAGCTCCTCAATGAATCCTAAATACAAACACTAAATCAGTGGATGTTTTGCAAAAACGCATGCAAAATCCCATGAGTGTCATCTTGATTCTCCAATAATTACGTATGCTTCCGCTACCCAGGATCATCCAAAATTCAAGTGCATGATGTCTTTGACATCCTGGTTTTGAATGCACACCCCAAAATCAAAAATACAAAACAAAACACCAACAATTTCCAAGATGTAACAACACCTCCACTAATGCCAAAACGCCTGCGGGGGGGGGGTCCTTCGCGTGAGTTATTAACCCAGAGGGGGGGGGGGGGGCCCCCCCCCCCCCCCCTTAGTGTGATATATCAAGCTTTAAGGCGCGCAGCTCATTCCACTACCAATTGCTAAAGCAAAGAAGAACTCAGCTAGCATGCTAGCTTTCGTGACTTGAGAAGGGAGGGGACGAAAGCCAGCCCTTCAAGCAGACCGCAAACATACTTGTTCAACGTGTTCTTTACAGCTGCTTGCGGGGACCTAGCTAGATCCCAGAAAATACAATTTCTGCTGGTGCCCTTTTTTCTTCCCCAAAGCCGTGATAAAACGACCACACATCTGCGAACAGACCGCCAAACATAGTCGTTCAACGTGTTTTTTACAACTACTTGGGGGACCTAGCTAGGTCCCAAAACAAAGCACTCCTTTCCTGGTGCCTTTTTGTCTTCCCCCAAAATTGCCACAAAACGATCAAACGGGGCACCACCACTGGTCACTGGACCACGCATGCCCTTTGAACAGACTGCAGGGCTGGTCTCTTAACGTATTTTCTTTACACCTACTTGGGGGGACCTAGCCAGATCCCAGCAGCTAGCACTCCTTTGCTGGCGCCCCCTTTGCTTTCCCAAAACATCCCAAAACCATAACCAAAAAGGGCACCACCACCGGACCACACGTGCCCTTCAAGAGACAGCAAACATAGTTTTTCAACATATTTTCTTTACAGCTACTTGGGGAGAGCTAGCTAAATTGCAGAACACAGCACTCCTTTGCTGGTGCCCGTTTTGTTTCCCCGAGGCCAGGCAGTTTGACCTTGGGTGCTGCAAAATGAAGAGAAATAGGTCAAAGCACAGGATGAGTGGATTGAGCGATCGATCATTCACCGAGGTTCTCCCGGACTACTGTGGGTTACCACAGTCTAAGAAGTCATGTTGGTGCCCCCCCTGCCCTTTTTTAGCGTGAAAAGGGTCCAAAGCCGAGAAACAAGGGCACCCCCCTAGAAAGGAGTTGGAAGTGGGACTTTCCGTTTGTACAAGAGCGTGGGATTCCACGAAGCAGAATGTGGGCTGTCCCCGATCCATCCACATTCCCCAACTCATCCTTCTTCCTTTTTTTCTGTTTGGTCTGTCCTGACCAGTAACAGTGGCTGAGGGTTAGTAAAGGCCTTGTGGTAGGGCATATAGACTGTATCACATCGAGCCCCAATCTGAAAGTTTGCGCGTCGCTGCCTTCGGCTTGCCCGTGGCTAACCATAAACACAAGCCAATCACGGTCCCAGCGCGAATGCTCAGACTCAGCCCCTTTCGTTGAATCCGTCAGTCTTGACATGCTTCGGCCCACCATCTCCGTAGACTCTACGGCAGGTCTTTACAGCGGACACACGCCTGCTTGCAGGTTGCTAACTTTACAGCTGACCCCTCCATATTTGCTGAGGAAGAAGCGTGCACACAACTAGACCAACTGCCCACTTTGTGATGCTAGTAATGCACTACAGTAACCTATTTGGCATCACTGGCATCACCAAAGCCCGTATAAACATGCTCGTTGACTAACTTTTGCCCACTGCTCTTTTTTGTTCTCCTCCACCAACCAGGCTCTGGGTTCTCCACCACTCAGCCTAGCCTATTGGCTGGCTTTTTTGAATGACTATCATCACATCATAGAGTCATGTAGCTGCAGCATCTGCAAGATCCATGGAACCATGGGTTTTTCATCATCCTTGTTGCTGCTGTTGACTTTGGAGTCGGACTTGCTCTCACTGGCCAGTGTCCCTGCAAGTTTGACTTGATTGATGAAGGTACTGAGAGCAAACACTAGGATGAAAAACTGCCATGACCGTGCCTCAAGACCTGCATTGCGCAGGGAAGCAGAAGTGACAGGGCCTGGCAAGGAAATCATTCGGAACATGATAAGTCTGCATGTGCAATGTGAAGTGCTCTGGCTACTTACATTGGCGGTCCGAAAATCGTTTGCAAGATTTTTGATATCGACCCTTAGATGCCTTAGCAAAGAAGGGAGAATCGGTTTGAGACCCAGCCAACTTAGTTGTGGGTGGATTGCCTTCGACAAAAAGAAATAGGTCTTAGGTCGCTCCTTTGGAGCTTCCGAAGAGAATAGCTCGAAACAAACATGAGAAAGAGAATAGCTCCGAAGTGCCAAAGCGCTATTCATCCTCTGCGCCCTTGGCTCGAGCTACAACCAGTCGAGGTGGGGGGCCAGGAGCTGGAACCACTGAGCTCATGCAGAATTGCTCCCTCACTGCTCGACGATAAAGCCACAACGCAGAAACGTAGAATGTGAAAACCCCGATGCTTAGCAGTGCCACTAAGACAGCGGTCAATGTGGAGTCCACCAATTCGCATTGCCGGACCTCAATGAAGCGAGGTGTAAGCCGTCAGTCTGAGCAAGGTCCCTTATTTATGTTCTTTTCTTGTAGGGCAAAGCCTGCACTAAGAAGACAAGCAACGTGAAGCCGGCATATGACGATCAGCCACATGATTAGGAGCATGCCCCAAAGATTGAATTTGTTCATCAGCTTCTGCAAATCTTTCTTGCCAATGGCATCCAAATAAAATGAGATAGCATGGCCCGCTAGGTTCAAGAACATGAAGGTCTTGCTCACCAAAAAGTACTCCTGCCGGAAACGACTGGAAGTGCAGCAGGAGAGGTTCAAATTAAGTAAGGCATGGTAAGGCATGGAAAGGCTGGATCAAGGTTCTCAAGGTTGGCCAAAAGGAGGCATCTCCCATGTTCTTTTTGTGAAAGCTGTAGGCCCCCCACTCCTCCATCCAGCTTATGCTTCCAGATGTAGGCAGAGTTGCAACCACAGAATTTCGCAAGTTCGTCAATGAAACCAATGCAAGCATGGTTGTCGCCACTCTAGGCATTGACATTTTCACATCCAGCGCGAATGCCAAGAAGCCCATCCTCAGCTGCCAGCATCGGCAATAGCAGGTAATACTTGGTACAAACTAAGGCAACTAAGGGGACGTAAGAAGGCGAAAGTGCATGTTGTGGAAGTCTATCTATATAAATTAAACCGTGTGGCGTTGTCACCCACAATTTTGTGTTGCCAAGATTCATTGTAAAAATCAACGAAGGCCACATGTAGGAATTGAAAATAGCTTCCGACTGCCTGCAATCTGAAGAGCATGTGTCATATGCACCCTTGGGAGAAGACTAGACAAGTCATGACTTGGAACTATCAATGCTGGACCAGCCGGACAGGTCTCTTGAACCCTTGGTCAGAAAAAAGGTAGAACCTGGAGCCACCAATGGTCCAGCGGCAGAGAGAACAATTAACTCCTGGTGGACCTATGGCACAAACTGGTGATCAATATAATGTAATATAGTATAAGTCTAAGTTTAGGGCCAATGGCCAAATAGTTGAGACACATTTGATGCCTGTCAATCGTGTGACCAATCGTTTGTTCGCCCAGACTTTCATTTCTAGCTTTCTTGACTCAAGAGTACCCAACGGCCCTGCATTGCCTGATTCCATCCATCAAGCAAGTGATGAGCGCTTCATCGTTTTGCTCACAAGTAAAGTTCCCCCCATTCGAAGCCGACGTAGGTTCCTTTTGCCTAACCACAAATTCATGAACATGTCTTGTCAGCTTGAGGCAAGTACGTCCTCTAAAGGACATTTTGATCTTACTCTCACTTTTCTCCCTCCTCATGCACAAGTTCAATCATCTCACTCCGTTTGTTTGGTAATGTTCGTGCGAACCCAAAAGGGACCAGCTGTCTTCACCTTCTAGTGGACACACCAAAGCATATCCAGCACGCAACTTTGCCATTGGCCTATTGATATCGAATGATCAAAGATCATAAAGACATTAACTCCTCAAAATGGGTGTGTATTATATCTTTATATACAGGCCCGCCCCCCCTGGTGACTACCCGTGACTGAGTTAGCAAATGTGGTTGCGCGTTGAAAAGCCTGACATATGCCTCTTCCTCTACCCATATCTGCTGGGTTGGTTGCCAGCATGTTTTTTTAATATTGTTTATTTGCTACTGCTCCAGTCCGAAGAAAAACTAAGCAAAAATTGTTACAGCAAGGGGCGATCTGAATAAAAGAAGGGGAACTAGCTAGCACTTGCGCAAACCACATATTCAAGAAACGGAGTGCTTTTCTAAAGACGATAGGATCTGCGTCTGTATCGGACCTAACCCTTTTTGCCTTGAGTGATGCTTGCTTTTGCTTGATTCCAGTACTCTTCAAGAACATATTTGAAACAAAAAGAGTTGAGCATAAAAGCAAAAAAATCCGGACGCAAAGAAAAACCGATTGGGACTATATAGGGAGAGCTGGTTGAGGAAAAGGAAGAGCAAAACAATTGCATCGCCAGCGAAAGGGCCGATCAAGGAGCAGCATCAACCTAATACTATAGCCAAGAAGAAAACAGCCACTGTCCATGGTCTAAGTGGGAAAGCAACCAAGCAAATAGCACTAGGTATCAAGAAGTTTTATGGTGTGGTGTGTGGGTATGTGGGTATGTATATGTATATGTATATGTATATGTAATTACAGTGTGTCATATATATATATAATTGTGTGTGTGTGTTGATTGTGTGCCTTCAACTCTGTCATGCATCCTGTCGGAGAAGCTTATCTATCACTCACCGCCTCAAAAGTCAGGCGGCTTAGTTTGGGTGAGCCCGGGAACGGACCATGGAAGCGGAGTGGCCTTGCTACTAGGAGCAAGCAGCTACTAGGGGCTCCTGGCCTTGCTACTAGT